TATATGTTATCGATATGTCGAGTACCATAGAGAAGGTAACCAGCAACAAAAGACTGGGACGGTATTGGTGGCAGTGCCAGATTGAGTGCCGGGGGATACAAAGGGCTATATGTATGGTGAGAGGAACACATCACCTTGCACCCAGTCCTTGGAGACGCTCTCCTTCAAGGATAAGTGCACGATTTATCCGTTTAATGAAATGATAAGCAGAAAGAACTACTTACATTCGTGAGAAGATTACTGGCGGGAAAACAGGATCCGGAACAACTTCTTGCGATGGCCCAGTGTAAATATCAAGGTGTTTATCCGGGAGGCGAATCCCTAAGCAAGCGCCTGAGTTCGATGGACGGGCTGTGAGATATAGATGAACAGAACCCTATCCTAGACGTTAGCACCACAAAGAGGTGTTCTGCTCAACCAGTCAACGATGCCAGAAACCCAACAATGCGCCCTTACACTCGATCCCTCGGCCTCGTAGCATGTCTGCTCGCAGACACGGTATGCGGCAAGTTCGGCATCACCACCAAAGGCAACTCTTACAGCGTTGATACCGATGGAGGCCTGGTCTTTGATGTCGACAGGTCAGTACCTACAACAAAGGCCTCTGCTGGCCAGTGACATCCCATCCAGTCCAAGACCGTTGAGCCGTTCCGGGTACTGATTGTATCCTTTGTCCACCAGAAACAATGGCGACATCACCAGCCTACAGTACAACGGCGTGCAGTACCAAGGCACCCGCAAAATGTCGGCCATCAACTCCGGTCTCGGCGCCTCAAAGGTCACCGCCGAGATGGTGAACGGACTCGTCAAGATCACTGTCGCCGCAAGATCCCTGCCTGTGACGCATTATTATGTTGCCCGACCAAGCGACCCGACGGTTTACATGGCCACGTACATCACCGGTGAGGTCGACCCTGGCGAGCTGCGGTGGCTTGCCCGTCTGCGGCGGTCTGCTGTGCCCAACGGCTGGCATGGTGATGTAGGAGTGCTGGATGGCTGCACTGCGTTTGAGGGGAAGGATACCTTCAAATGTCCGAATGGGCAGACGAGGTGTAAGATGTATACCTCGGATCGGTTTATTGATGATCAAGTGCATGGTGTTACGGGGAATGTGAGTACCTGGCTAGCACGCAACTGGAACCGAGAGGTTGGCTGACATACATGCCGTCATAAGAATGTCGGGATATGGATGATCATGCCAGGCACAGCGTACGAGACTTCGTCCGGCGGTCCCTTCATGCGCGACATCAACACGCAGAGCGGTGACGACCAGGAGCTGTACTGGTACATGAACAGCGGACACGTACGAACGGAGCCGTGGAGGTTTGGGCTCATGGGGCCTTATGCAATGACTTTCACGTATGCTCTCCATTACTCAGGAGCTTTGCAGGACCTCTATTGCTAACCACCCGTGAGCACAGCACCGGCTCCAAACCCTCCGCCGATCTCAACACAACCTTCTTCTCGTCCCTCTCAATCCAGGGCTACGTCCCTCCCAGCCAGCGCGGAACCGTATCCGGAGTCGCATCCGGCGTCGCCCCCGGCTTCCAAGCCATCCTCCACTGGCACAACACCGCAGCTCAATACTGGACCCAAGCCTCCCCTGACGGCACTTACACCTCCCCGCTAATGAAGCCCGGAACGTACACCATGAAGCTCTACCGCAACGAGTTCCTCATCGCCCAGGACACGGTCACCATCAAATCCGGCACACAGACCACCAAGAACATCACTTCAACGGAGGTGCAGCCGGAAGTGATTTGGCGGATCGGTGAATTTGACGGCCAGCCGTTTGAGCTCAAGAACGGAGACAAGATTGAACGAATGCATCCGTCTGACGTGCGTATGGGGTCGTGGGGTGGGAATTATACCGTGGGGAAATCAACGGCGAAGGAGTTTCCTATGGCGTTGTTTGCTAAGCAGGGGGGCGTTGCTACGGTGACCCTTGATTTGGCTGCAAATCAGGCGGCGGTTGAGACGGTGCTGAGGATAGGGACGACGCTGTCGTTTAAGGGTGGGAGGCCGTCGGTGAAGGTGAATAACTGGCAGGGGAAGGACCCTGGTGCACCGGTATGTACCCCTGAATCCGTCGGTGACCATTCGGGTCTCTGATGTACTTACTTCGAGCCTGAGGTCTGGTGCTGGGCATAGAACTCAATCCTTCAGAAAGAAGCTCCCAAAACTTGCGAGTATGTACTGACTTGAACGCGTCTTATAGAAACTGATCGACTCCCGTGGTGTCACTCGCGGGGCCTACCGTGGCTACGGCGAGATCTATACCTGGAAAGTTCCTGCCGGCACGCTCAAGGCAGGCACAAACACACTGACCATCGGGGTCCATGGCTCGGGGGATGCGGCGTTTCTGAGTGCCAATTACATTGTCGATGCTATAGAACTTCAGGGTCCAGCGGGGAAGGATAGCCCTCGTTGATGGCCCTGGACTCATGAGGGCCAGACCCGACTACGTCCCCTTGTAGGTATCCGTAGATAGGTAGCTAGGCACTGATAATAGTCCGAGCAAGCGCAGCCTTGTATATCACCCGACCTGTCACTGCAAATCTAACAGCCTGGCCCCTGCGCACATATAGCATTCCAATGTTGAGGTATCACATCTCCCCTGAAATCACCCCCGCCTACAAAAACAACTCGCCCTAACCTCCACATCCGCCGTAGCCATCGCCAGCTCCAACTGCGGCCTTACCATCCTCGCCTCGGCCTCCCTGCCCAGCCTCGTAAGACATTCATGCAACCCATGCAGCGCCCACACATTCCCCCGATGCTGCTGTGCCCTCGGCAGTGTGTCATCAAACCCCAAATCAGCCCTATACACCTCCAACGCTTCCTCTATTTTGCTCTGTTCGAGCAGCAGCGCGCCATATGCGTGACGGACGGGTTGCATCCACCCCCAGGGTTCGTCGTAGGGTAATGAATCATCGAGGGTGATGGCTCGTTGCAGGTGCTGGAAGGCGAGTGAAATGTTGCCCCGGCGGTATTCGATCTCGCCGTCGAGCATGGCGGAGGCGATGGCTAGGATGTCGAGGCAGGTGTTGTTGAAGATTGTTCGTGACTCAGGGACGGTTTGTACCGCAGAGTGGAAGAGGCGGCGGGCATCTTCGGCGGAGGATAGCTGGCCAGTGTTGGCTAGGGCGATGGCGCGAGCGTAGTGCGTCATGGCGGTTGTGGTGCAGTATAGTGCTTGGTCGGAGGGGAGGGAGAGGGACAGGATATCCCCCCAGCGACCGAAGCGGACTAGTACATGCACGCGCATGGAGAGGAAGCCCTCCAGCCAGTCCGCCATGGGGGGCGATTCGGTGCGGAGTAAGGATTCTGGAAGGGTTGATTCAAGCAGAGCTGCGGACTCAAGGGCGACGGCGGACTGCCCTGCGAACATGGCGGCGTAGATCCGGAAGTGCAGGTTGTGGCAGCGGTAGAGGCTGTAGAAATTATTTGCCCCGTTGCGGAGGAAGAATTTATTGTCGGCCATGACGGCCTCGGTGTTGGAGGCGATGGCCCGTCGGTAGTCGCCGCAGAGCACGTCGATGTGTGTGGGCATGTGGTTCAGATGGCCGGCGTCGGGGACCAGACCGCGTAGCTGATCGGCCGCGTTCAGGGCTTGTTCGGGATGGCTGGACATCTCCATTAGGTGGATGTAAAGATGTAGCATGCCTGGGTGTCGTGGGTGTTTGGACATGGCATGTTCCAAGGCGGATTTGGCCTCGAGGGTTCGGGCGCCCTTGGCTGGCTCGCCGGTGCGGATATCCCACATCTGCCAGGGGGTGAGGTTCATCAAGGCATCGACATAGAGAGCTGTGGCGTTAGGGTCGTCGGGGTAGTCGGAATGGAGTCTCTCCATGGCCTGCGCATATGTCTGGTTGCAAAGATACCCCTTTGACGGTGTCATCTGTTCCTGTGGATAGCGGTGTTGAATGGCATCGATAAAACCACGCTCCATCGGCGTTACTGTCGCCGAGGCTGCTTTCTCCAGAGCTGTAACGGTAGCTTGCCGTGCCTTGCGCACATTCCTTTCCAGTTCCCGCTCGTCAAAGATGCCCCAGGGTTTGTTGTAGTTTGGACCTAGTGAATGGGCAATGCCCCAGTAGGCCATTGCGCAGTCCGGGTCCGCGGCAACAGCGCGTTCGAAGCAAGCCACAGCCTCTTCATGGTTGAAGGCGTAGTTCCAGACCAGCCCGCGGTTGAACCATTTCTGCGCCTCGATACTGCTGGTCGTTACCGGCATCGAGAAATCTCCAAGATCATAGTACCCATCGTTGCCCCCGTCGCCCCGCGGTTCGATAGCTTCGATTCGGAACATGTGATGCCCCTCCCCGCCTTTCCCCGTAGCCATGCTGTGCCTGTTTGTGGCGCGTTTTGAAAAGCTCCCGGCAGGTTCCTGAGTGGTGTGCCGCATATACCACTGCTACCCAAGCTTCAGTCAAACTTGGAATGCACAATGCCGGTACGAAGCGTGTGGTAGGGGGAGATCAAGGATCCGCATTTTCTACTACCGCTTAGGTAAGGTACCGCTTAGCACCCCACACACGGGACGGGATCGGGCCAATTCCCGACGTCATCAGCATCCCCACTTACGGAGGACCTGTAAAAAGTCTCGGTAACCAATGCGGGGTTTCATCCAAACCACTGACACTCCACTAACATCCAGGCTCGCCAGTAAACTCCCCGCGCGCTAGAATCCAGATTGCCGCCCATCGGTCAGCTGTTTGAACAAATCACCGTCTTGGCCACGAACAGGCGGCCAACCATTTCTTGGATCAAGCACACGCGCAGATCGCGATGCAACTGACATTCCTTTCCTGTATAACCAGTCCTTGGAGCGTGCCATTCGGGACCACGCCAGGAACCTGCACATCTTGACACGATGCCAAGTTGGACGTCTCGTCCCGCTACGCCCTGGACAGGTACCTACCTTAGTCCCGGCAAGAATGCCTTGATCGGGCAGGTTCCGACTTCCGAGGGCGGCACTGGCTGTCACGGTCCTTTGTCAAGCCGTTGATGGCGGGGCGTAGGAGTTGAGAGCTTGCCGACGGCTGAGCCTGTGTAAGTAAGTATAAAGGGGAGGGTGCTTGATGTGTCCGGAGTTCAACTCCCAGGCCCATCAGGCTTGCCGTCTCCGGGCCCCGAAGAAAACCGGCACTGGGATCAGATCCATCTCATCCCTTCCATCCCGTCTCATCCCGTCTCGCGTCTACGCTTCACCATGAAGCTCCTGACAACCCTCCTCACCCTCACACCAGCTGTGCTGGGCCTCGCCCTCCCGGCTGAAGGCACCACCCTCGCCCTACGACAATCCTCGGTGCAAATCACCGACCAATACCTCTTCAGCATCTCACTCCCCGCCTTCACCGCCCGCCGCAACGCTCGCGACCCGGCAACCCTCATCTGGGACTCAGACGGGTGCAGTTCCTCGCCCGACAACCCGTTCGGCTTCCCCTTTATCCCGGCCTGCCATCGCCATGATTTTGGCTACCGCAACTACAAGGCCCAGAACCGGTTTACGGATGCCGGGAAATTGAGGATTGATAACAATTTCAGGATTGAGTTCGTCCCCCCCCCCACCTATTTGGATGGAATGTGTGGGATGTTGCTAATGAGATTGTGTGAAGTTTGTACTACCAATGCGCTGGGTCATCCGTCCGGGGTGTTTGTGAAGCGCTGGCTGAGGTCTATTACGCCGCGGTCAGGGCCTTTGGTGGGGAGACGCAGCCGGGGAAGCGGGATGAGGAGCTGGTGAAGATCTATGAGGAGAAGGTGGCTATTTATGAGAAGCTGGTGAAGGAGGCGCAGGAGAAGGGCGAGTTGTGGCATTTGAACTAGGGTAGAGCTACATGTAGCTTATAATGACATGACTCATCAACATGGCCTCATGAAGGCGGCAAGGCGCTTTTGGGCAATGCTCTACCTTTTCTGTTCCTAGGATCGGCTCACTAGTGATTCTGAGTCGGACTGTGTAAGATATTCCTTCTCTAGGTATCTACTTAGTTTGAAGGCGTTGCCCATTCTTGACCTTCTGGGTTCTCGGTTCAATGTTCTTCTGGTTTCCTGGTTCTCGTCGATGTTCTATACTCGTTGCCGAGTCGCCGGAGTCTGGAGGTCGTGTTCTGCATGACCGTCATACTCCCTTCTTGAGTGCACCTCGGTGCGGATCATATGCAGGTGGCCTATAAATTGATCCGGATGATAGTAGTTGTCTTCGATTCCATACCTAAGTGCCTATCTGCTGCTTAGACCACTGCTTAAGGTAGCTATCCCCTGAAATACCAAGCAAGGGGTCAAGGGTAAGGGGTGGTACTAGCAGAGGAGCTCAAGTTGCTTGGCTTGAAGCTTTTCCGACCTATTATTCTACGTACAATGCCTCGGAAAATACCTGTGGCACCTGTGTGCTTACATGTATGTGGTCAAGAGTTGGGGGCGGGGCTTGCTTATCCGGTAGGACTTAGATCCCCCGGTGCGGACTCCGATAATTCCGGTCCTGTTTTGCGACACTGAATGGAGCTGTAAACTCAACTCTCAAGTCACTGGAGAGAATTACGTGCGGATTCCGACATTCCGGTCCTACACTTGAGTGCGGCGTCGACTATCAAGGGATCCGAAATTCCGAATAGCAAACCTCGAACTCAGGCTCAAGGAAGGCTGTCCCTCGCCAGACGAGCACCATGACGGGTAGAAGAGGCCCAAGCCATTCGGGGCCTTACAGCCTTGCCTGCATCAGCTGCTTCAAGTCGAAAAGCAAATGCGTCGCCCGTCCTGACGGCGAGGGTTGCCAGAGGTGCCACCGGCTGAAGAGACAGTGTTCACCTTCAAACTCGCTGCGTAACCGCAGCAATGAGAAGAAGCAAACCTCAGCAGCTCGGATTGCTGAACTTGAGAGCAAGCTTGACGGCCTGATTTCACAACTCCAGCCAAGCAACATACATGTGGTCGACAGCCGTACAACAGAAAGACAGAGTCCCGTTCTAGCAACGTCACCACAGCCCGATGATACAATACATGTTCATGTTCAGCCTTCCAGCTGTACAGAAACTGGGGAAGAACAGAGCGAGCTTATCGACAGGGATGTCGATGGCATTACACGTGCTCCTCTCTCTCAGGCTCCTCTCCCGCCGCCGGTCGTGACTCCCGTGAGCGTCTTGGAGCTCCCGAAGCTGCAAATCTCCAATGCCCAAGACGAAACTCTGCTTAGCACGTTCAGGTCGAGCATGCTCCCACATTTTCCTTTCATACACCTCCCAGCCGAGTTGACCGCTCACCAACTGCGCCGGGATAGACCATACCTGTTCCAAGCCATCGCATGCGTTTCGACGCCCTTCGTGAGGGAAAAGGTTGAGCGAGGCGGGGAGCTAAAGAAGGCGATCTGCAATGCCATGTTGGAACGCAAAACCCAGGCCACCGCAGATACGGTAGACCTGTTGCTAGCACTCTTGGCATATATCTCTTGGGGCTGGGATCACGTACTCGGTGGAAACAGCATGTTATTTCTCATATCGCAGGCCAAAGCAATGGCCCACGAGATCGGGAAGCATCTCGACGGCAATGGTTCTCAAGATATGAAGCTCATGGCTCTTTTCCTCCCCAGCTTTCACTCCAGCTCCGGAAAGGTGAGGGAGGAGACCAAGCAGGAGTTCCTGGAACATCAGCGGGCTGTATTAGGGTGTTTTGTCCTCAGCTCCATCTATTCCGACTCCTGCGGTCTGGGAGAGCCATTGCTATGGACAGCGCAGATGGAAAACCGCCTTGCAGCCATTAGCACAGAGACCACCGGCTGTCCGACGGACTCTCTCCTCGCCACCCAGGTCCGTCTGCAACTCCTCACACGAAAAGGCATCGAGGTCCATCAGCAGCAGCAATTAGACCAGGGGCTTACCGTACCCCAAACGGAGATGGCAACTTTCCCCGCGCTCATGACCCTCGAAACATTGCAAAAACAGCTGCAGGAACTCAAATCGTCACTGGCTCCAGGGATCCAACAAAGGGAACTTATCATAGCACACATCTACTCAACACAGCTCATCCTCAGCGAGACCGCATATAAAATCCACTGCCTAGTCCCCATACTGGTTAGTCAATTCGCTCGAATGACCGCAACAGGGTCAATGAACAGCACTAGTCGTCCCTCGTCCCGTCAGGAGCGATCGAAGTACCTCTGGGAATGTGTCCGCGCAGCACAGGCCTGCACCACGGTCTTACTGGACTCCCCACATTCCACACAATCGACCTTCAGGGGCATCTCATTCCTGCAATGGGCACAGCTCGCTCGCTGCGTCGTTGCGCTGAAATGGCTGACCTCGTCGATGGATGATGAGATAATATGGAACACTGACGGAGTAAGGGCTGTCATTGATGTGCATGAGGTTCTGGGCCGGGCGGCTGAGAAACTGAAACTGGCGGCGAAGGAGGCCGGTGAGCAGGAGGGAAACGGGCAGTTCGGTCAGCTTGCACGGGAGATGCGTCGGTTTTGCACTGAGTCTGATTTGATTAGCAATGAGGTGAACGGGGACCAGGCGGGCAGGAGAAAGGGACGGGATAGCTTGTGGTTTACTACGGTTTGGGGTGTAGCGGGTGGATCGACTTGATGCGTGCTAGGTACGGTACGATGCCTAACAGACAGAGTAACCGAAGTGAGAAGTCTCTTACTCAAGTTGCGACCTATCATCTCAAATAGACGCAACTCCAGTGATACGAACAAACTCCTCTTCAACATGTGACCAAACACTCTCTGCCGTTCCGTCCTTCCTCATACCCTCTAGAAGCCGCTCTGTCTTCCGTGACGCGCTCTCGGCCTCCTTGCTCGTCGAGTACACTCCACTACTTCTCATTCCGTCCGTTCCACGTCCAACCTTGAGCCCTTCGGGCAGCGGAACACCCGAAGTGGAACCCCTACTTGAAAACATGGCGCTCGTGGCGAGAAACACATGCCTTTCTCCAGCCTCCTCCAAGGGTGTAGCAACAAACGGCCCAACAACAGCAACAACAACGTTAAACACCCCTCGCATAACCATCGCACCCAGGCCCTCCAGATCATTGCCCAAGTTTGTCCTGACAAACCCCGGAAAGCTGTGAATGAACGACACACCCGGTGCATTCCGCGCAACAGCCTCCAGCGCGAGTGTCGTCATGGAACTGAGGTGGCCGCGGCCGCCAGGCGACAGGATACGGTGCTGCCGGCATTGGAAGTCATCTGTGTAGATGGGCCCTTCTTTGGTGCCGGCAAGTACGGTCACGACACGGCGCAGACCTGTTGCGTTCTGCAGGAGGGGTAGCAGGTTGACAATGAAGCGCAGGCGGGCGTAGTATGCCACGGCGAGAGGGTGATGGAGGCCTTCTGCGGTGTCTAGCAGGGGTTGTTAGCCGGTGCCCTCAATTAACACGCTATAGAGTGTCTATGTTAGGTTCGTTGTGTTCGTTGTTGATACTAGACTTACCCTTCCCGGTGATCATTGTCCCTGTACTTAGGAACAACAGGTTTATAGCGGATTCCTTTGCCTTTATCTCGCGGCAAAACTCGTCCACGGAAATCAGCAGGCTGATGTCAACGCTGGTGAAGGTGTACTCTCCTTCGGGGTTCAGCTTTTGCAGATCTGCGCAAACTCGGTCGCCGGACATCTTGGAGCGGCCAAGAAAGTAGATTCTTGGCCTAACAGCGTGCTTGACGAATTGTCTGAGGGATGACTCGCCGATGCCATTGGTTGCACCGGCAAAAACAGCGACGAGGCCAGGCGGGAGGGCTGTCGAGATCTGGGAGTTGGAATGTCGGATCTGCTCTAGAGAGACCATGAGGGATGACGGGCACTTTGACTTTGCTGAAGGTCCCCGAGGTCAGCTGTATACTGGTTGCAGTCAACTGAAGATGTTGGTTGAGAAATGCGGTGGTTCGAGGAACAGTTAAAAGGCGAGAGGCAGTGGTACCTATATAGAGCAGCTCAGTTAGATACAATTACAAGGTAGGTAAGGTAAGGTAGGTAGGTAAACAGGCGTCGCAGTCTTTCATGCTCCCTACGAACCAACCCTTGAATAACACCTCGCGGGAACGCAAATGTATATACATACTGGAAATAGCCTTCTGAGCTGCTGTACTGTAACATAACACCACGAACGTTAGTGAATCCGAAGCCAAGGATAGGTTCCTCCGTCCCGGCTCAACCCAACCTCCGCAAATCGCCGAGACCGGGGCTTCGATGACCCTGCCGGAGTCCGGTAGAATAATGGTACAAATGCTTGGGACTGGGTGTAATGACATTGAAAAGATTTAGGGGCCGAAAAGTACTTGCATTTGCTCTATAGGGTAAGAACTACAATTCAGGTCCTCTGTTTTCTTTTCGCTACATGTAGGATTGCTTGTCTTGACAACCCCCGCTCGTCGTCACGGGCAGACAACAACATTAACAACGACATTACATTGTCAAGGCATAGTAAGGATTCTACCCTTCCTATGCGATTTCCAAAGTTAACACGCTGATGTGTGGCGCACAGTTTTCGACGTCCGTTCTTTTTCGGCCACCGTCATTTCAGGCTCCCGGGTCGTCTCTACACTCCTGCAGAGTTGTGGATGTGGGAGTGGCCACCTACCAGTAAACGTCCGAAGCATAGATGCCGGCGGTTTCATACGAGGCCAGGAACCTTGGTCATCGCCAGACCTCACGATGTACAATCGCCCAGCCCGCTTCCATACGTCGCCGCCGCCTTGGTTGCTGCTGCTCAATCACAAGCTGGATCTTGTCCAACTCGGGGATACCGTCAGAAGGAGGAATACCCAGTTAGTTTTCCCCAAACGGTTGAAAGCGTCTACTTTTCTATACATCAGACTGAGGTATTCAACTTCCCCTAGGTCGGTGTCATTTTGATGGATTTTCCCAATAGCGAGAATGCTACATTTTTTCATGCTTCTATTTCCCGCACTTTCCTCTCCAAGTTCGGCTTTCTAAGCTTTCTCTGGGAGGACACGCATACACAGCCAGTCACACCGGAATCCTTGAACATCCAGCACCACCTTATTACATATTCGCGAAGCAGAAGGAAGCTCCTGCACCGCCTCCTTTCCACCGTGGGTGGAATCCTTGAGCATCCGCGGGAATAGAGACGAGGTGACGACTGCCTAGGGTTAGGGGTCAGATGTCGATAACTATGGCCAAGCTTGCAAAGCGACAAGGCGTCAGCTAGCAAAGTGAAGGGACGGGTATCGCGCAGAGAAAGGTAGTTTGTTAGGTTAGCACTACCTTAACCCGCCTATACTCGGGCTTGCCTCTAACAATCATACACCCCAGATTTCCTCCCGCGTCGAGATCCAGATGCCCGAGATTTGCTACCTGGTATTTTTGCCTCGAGCGACCACCGGCAGTACGCCGGCGGAATAAAGCCGCTATTTGTAAGAGCTCGAAAATGAAACCAGTAATTCCATACCACGTACGTCTGGTAAGTGCCAGCTTCCATGGCTCGCAGGCTGGTGAAGGCCTCGATAACCATAATTATCCTGCTCACAATGTACATACAGCAGCGGACTGACCACCTTGACAATGGTCAACGGCCCATCCCAAGTCAAGGCCATGGTCCTGAACTGCACGCATACAACAGCAGTCACAATGGAAACCACCACGCTGCCTCGCTACAGCTACATTTCGATCCCCGTCGGGAACCTGGAACTCCACGACAGCAGATGGATCGCACCAAACGACGCACCCAAAAGACAGAGTAAGGGCCACCAACTTGGTCATGTACAGGTCTGCATCCCATTCTGTAATGACCATGGTCCCTTCGACAGGCGGTGCCTTTACTATTTCCTCAACCCTCGTTGCGACTCCGCTCTCCTCCTTGGACCACGGCATTCGACTTTGCCGAGGCCAGTTCGCCTCCGTATCCCCGTCTTGGTCCCCAATTCCAGTGGCCATAACCGTGACCAGCACTTTCATCGTCTCTGCAATCCCTAGCCACCATATACCAAGCGATGCTCAACCTTTGCCGCTCCCCTGGCCGTAAAACATCATAGGTTTCCTCCATCGCCAGCCTTTCGGAAGCATGCCACTGCTGGTCCGTCATCTCGGCCAGATCTACAAACGTCGGCAGTGTGGGTGTGCCGCAAGCGGCGGGAGACCTGGATGCGCGGTGGATCGCGGTCCACGTGCAGATGAGGATGGTGAGAAAAAGTCAAAAAGAGTGGCGGTGATGATTTTGATGGTCCAGGTGCCGCGGCTGGTGTCGTCGGGGAACCTGCCTACGAGGCAGGCGGGGAAGTCGGGTACCGTACCTTGTTGAAGTTAAGGAAGGATCAACCCCTGGCTCTTCGGCAAAGGAAGGTTCGGGCGAACCCTGGGTGGTGTGAATTCAGGAGCGGCCCGCAGCGGGGACAATGCATGCCATGGGGCCATGGCGGGGTCGGTTAGGAAGGGCCAAGGGAGCGTTGCAGCGGTTCATCAGTGGGCCGCAGCGCCTGCTGTGCCAACTGCCAAGCCCATTATGCGCGCGGCTGCTCGTCTCATTTTGTTGATCTGTCGGGTCTCGTTCAACGTCAACAGGACCATGGAACCTCTGGTCTGAATTCAAGCTCTGGACTTTGGGTTCCTTTCCTATAGAACAGGAAAATGGAACCTTCTCCATTGCGCTCTACAGTCCTGGCATTATGCCTAACGCTCGGCATTCCCGCTGCCCTTTACATTGGCGCTCTCAGCACCATGGTTCTCAAGCCCTCTCTCCAAGCCCACGCAATCTACCTTCACAAGGTGACACTCACCTGGTTCAAAGACCTCGACATCCCCGAACAGTTCGGCTTCGCCAACCACCAAGTCACGCCCTTTTACATCCCCACGCCCGACGGGGAAAGATTGCACACATGGCACGTCCTTCCCATTGGCGCCTACGTCACCCATCAGGATGCCCTGCTGGCTCAGGGACCAGAGGGCGGCCTGGTCGATCGCTTCCAGGACACCCTCAATTTCCGCCTGCTGAGCGATAGCCCGGCCGCTAAACTGGTCGTCTACTTCCATGGGACTTCCGGGACCATGGCCAGCGGCTGGCGGCCCGCCAGTTACCGGTCCCTGTACGCCGTGGACCCGCTCAACACGCACGTGCTCACGTTTGACTATCGCGGGTACGGCAAGTCCACCGGGCACCCGTCCGAGGAGGGACTCATCACCGATGCGCTCGCCGTCGTGGACTGGGCCTTGCATGTGGCACGTATCCCCGCCGAGCGCATCGTCATTTACGGTCAGAGCTTGGGGTCCGCTGTTGCTATCGCGCTAGTTCACGAGTTAGTCCAGCGAGAGCTGGCTGTTGAGTTCGCGGGCTTGGTCGTCACGGCGTCTTTCGCCAACGTGGCGGAACTGACCGCTACGTATCGGATTGGCGGGTTGGTTCCTGTGCTCTCGCCCGTGGCGCGAGTCAAGCCGTTGTTTGACTTCTTTGCCAGCCGGCTGCAGAGCAAGTGGGACAATGAGCGGCGGTTGAGCGAGTTCGTGCAGAAGGCAGGGAGGTACGATGTTACCCTGATACATTCTGAGGATGATTGCGATATTCCCATGGCACACTCTATACGGCTGTTTCGGGCGGCGGTTAGGGCCGCCGAGGCTGACGAAGCTTTGTTGTTGGATGATGTGATCGAAGAGAAAAGGGTATCGCATGGCGAGGGTGGGTCGAGGACGGTGTGGTCGACTAAGAAAGGTGATATACGTCTCGAGATACCGAAGTATGGGGTGCATGACAAGGTCATGTCGTATCCGATAACTGGTTTGGCAATTGGTCAGGCCTTTAACTCGACGGGGTAAATCCAGGTGGCTATGGGTTGTTATCACAAACATACCTGGTTGAGTACCTACCTAATTACTTAGACAACCATCTTCTCACGAACAATCACAGGACTGACCCTGGACCGCATTCGTCTTCCAGGTTCATTCATTCGATCCAAATGACAATTTGATGAGGTTCACAGCCTGAGACTACGGTCAACGGCTCACTACAACTTACTATATCTGTCAATATCAAAAGCTCGACTAACATCCCTTTCCCTTCCTGGCCACGCTATCCGCTATCCGTGAAGCTCCTCCTAGATCTCAGGTCACCGTCCTCCCTGATACCCTTCATCTACGCTATCTCGTCTACCCCTTCCTTTTACATGCTACGTCAGACCTAACATGGAAAACATACGACACATGTAAGTTGCTAGACATCATCATAACGGTACTCTCCTGTTCGATGCTCCACGTGTTAATTCTGTTTATGATTATTTGCTACATGAGCTACTCTATTCTTTCGACAATACCGAAGTTGGACATCAACTTCGCTGGCGTCCCATATACACCAATCTAACTTGAGCTATTAGAAGCCTCAAGGTCCCGCCGTCACCATCCTAGCCAACATGTTCCCACTTAGCCCCCATCCTACAAGCGCTCGGCAGCAGGCGGCGGCACCCAACCAATCTCGTCCACAGCCCAGCGAATCCACAACCGGCCCTCTTCATCAAGCAGGTCGTACGCGTGGGCGACCAGGTGGCGGCCCCAGCCCTGCATCCACCAGTGCCCGTCCAGTCTGTGCAGCAGCACGCAGAAAAAGGCAAAGATTGCCACGGCCTCGCGACGCGTCGTCGGCGCCCGCAGCAGCGGCAGCAAATCCTCGGCCATGAAAAACACCCAGATAAACGCGTCGATCAACTCGTACGTCTCCCCGCGCGCCCGGCACGTGTCGGCTTGCCGGAACGACTTCTTCAACTCTCTTACGGCTACGCCGTACACCTGACGTAGCCGCTCAGAGTCATCGTCCATGTCAGTGTCAGTGTCGTCCCCTCCCTCTCCCCCTCCTCCACCACCCGCCGCCCGTGCATGTGGAGGATGTGACAGTGACCGGCGCAACAACATAACCTCCTCAAGCTGGGTCAGCGCGGTCAGGGCCGCCGACGCTTCCCGGTTGGCAAGGGATTCGCAGCTCTCCTCGCGCAGGATAAATCGGCTCTGAGAGTGTGCGAACAAAGGTGCCAGCGGGCCGGAGCTCGGAACCCCCGACAGCTCGATTAGGCCCTTTGTACCGCGAAGCATGTACACCCAGTCGGGGAAGCCGGCGTTGGGGCTGGTCATGCTCAGCAGCAGCGTGTCGGCCGAGGAGGTGCGAGGCCAGCCGAGAGCTGTGTTCATACCTTTAGTACCGGGGAAGGAAGCTTTGGTTATGTTGGCCGCTTATTGCAGGTGGTTACGCAACTGGAACGGGTCACAGGACGGGAGGGGAGAGAGCGTTGTGAATGCCTAGTGGTAGGTAGCTAGGTAGGGGCAAAGGTAGCAGAGGAGGGAGGTGAAGTGTCAGGTACTTGACCAAACCGAAAAGGCGCACTTACCATAATATGTCGTCAAAACAGAAAAGAGGAACAGCATTTCGGCGTCCTTGGGTGTTGGATTGTTGAGAAGCGGAATGGCGACCTGCGACGCGGCGTGGTGGTGGGCCACGGCGGCCGCGAGGTAATGGTCACGCTGGAGCTGGCGGTGATGGGCAAGGTGCAGGCCCGAAACGGCTAGGATAGCCCTCATGATGTAGTCGCAATGGAGACCCAGCTGCACAACCGTGCTGCGGTAGAACTCTCTGATGAGCTTTTACCTGTCAGACTCTCATGTTTGACGCCCTTGACCTTAGGTTGGCAGGTTTGAGCCATCGAAGTCTGAACAGGAATCTCAGGGGCTTGATGGTTGAACCAGGACGTACCGGGTTCTCGGACAAGGTGAGATACGTGGTAGTAGTGTAGCAATGTAGCAACTCCAAGTCCATCATGTTCAACGCTGCTGCCGGAGACCCACCCGGTTGAATAGGTTTGACTTGCAAAAAGTCGCAGTCAATTCGCCGTCTAACGCAGTTCGAACATGATGGCCTCTTCTCGTCGCACTGGATTGTTATGCCAGCTTTGCTGGCTGCGTCAGAAATCTTAAGCTATCCCCTACCTTGCACGACTAGCTACGACTCGGATCTGGGACTGTCATGCGCACCTTGATCTTACGAGCTTTACAATTCTTGCATCCTATGCAGATGGATAAGGTCAATACAATATGCATATCATAGCAGATATCTGTAAAGGGACTGGAGACGGCTGGAGATGGAGAGTAGCGGCCGTGCTTACCTAAACGGCTTTTGTGATGAGCCTTGCGCTTTTTGCTGGCCATGGTTGACGTGGATGCAGCTACCTTGCGCAAGGTATTCGGGGTAGGTAGTAGTCAGCTCTGCATGTGTACCTCAGCCTGTGATATCAGTGAGTGGTATGTAGGATTGGTGCTGACGTCTTCACCCTCCTGAGAGACATCTAGCCTGGTGCTTGTATGCGAGTAGAATTCCTGCGGGTTTGTTGATGGCGGCCGAGTACTACTGTTCTAGTAGCCGTGGACTGCGGGACGGCAACACGAGAGAAAATCCTCAGAGGTTGCTGCAGGCTTTTCACCAGAATTTTGGACCAGCCCGAACTGGCCGTAAAGTTAGGGTGTAATCCACAACACAGCCTCCAAGAACCCTGAGCGTTGGACCCTGAGCGTTGGTCGAAACGAACGTGCAGAGTGGGGATGGTTTCCCTGGGAACACCCGTCTAAATCAACCCCTTTTTGAGTCAAGACTCCAGATTCTCCCGAGAATCACGTGTCATGTAATCTCAGGGATCGCAGACAGCCGCTCCACGGACCACAACCGTAATCAAGGAACACCCTGTCTTCAATTGTTGCCAGCCGCAATGCGGCTGTGAGAGAGCGGTGGGCTTCGGGGCTTTTGCGGGGCTGGGCTCGGCTATCTATCCCCGGGATCGGGGCTGCAGTGACGGGTGTCAAACTCCACACCTAGAATGCCAGGACTCCAATCCGGTCTGTGCTCCGTCTCGTTTAGATCCGAGACAATGCGTATTTCTCGGATACGTGCCAAGCGACTGAACCCCCGTAGCTGTTCCAGGGTGGCCGACTACCTTACCATGTCTCGGGCATGGGAGTATCCCGGCAATCGTTGCTCGTTTAGATACGACAGGAACGAGACAAGGCGTATTTCTCGGATAATTCTCTTCAAACGAGAGCAGTGGCCCTGGGCCTGGGACAGTTGACGTCGTTTAAATCCGTAGCTAAGTGTATATTTCGGACAATCTCTGGCAAGCCAGCGATCTAAAATAGACTTCCTACTTCCTATGTGAGATCTGATTGCGGGAACCCAAATGGCAGTGTTGTCGTCCCCACGGTCCTCCAGAGGCTCAGCTTTTTCGCGTCCCGGGTCCATCACCCGCGGAGTCAGTTGCTGCATGTGAATGAATATATTTTGCCCCCTCCCTCATCTTTCTTGTTTACATTTATTACCTTTTCAGTTGTTCGTCTGTGGGCGTTGATGTCTCCATCAACATAACTGTTAATATCACCCATCCCATACGTCAACAACACTTGAACACTGAGCACGGGTTACAATGGCAGCCGAAACAGCGCCGCCAGGGGCAGCGGGCGTCGACGCCGCCATGCTCGATTTTGCCCTTTACCGCTACAAGCTCTCGCTACCCGCCGCCATTACAGCTGTCGTCATTTTTCTCATCTTGTCACTGCTCCATCTATGGCGTCTGTACCGACATCGAGCCTATTACTTTACTGCCTTCACTGTCGGCGGTTTCTGTATGCTCAACCACCCTTTAGCAAGGCCGTTCAGGATTCAGAAATATGTAGCTAACAGCCTGTTTTCCTCCATGCTCATAGTTCAGGTAGTTGGATACTGTGGTCGGATATGGTCCCACTTCGACGATACATCGATCGGCGGCTTCGTCATGCAGGCCATCCTCATCCTCGTCGCCCCAGCCCTTTACGCGGCCTCGATATACATGATCCTCGGGCGATTGATCCGCGCCCTACGCAGCGAAGCACTGTCCATAATCCCGGTAAAATGGATGACCAAGATCTTTGTTGTGGGCGATGTGGTGTCGTTCTTCATGCAGGCAGGGGGCGGCGGTATCCAGGCTGCTGGTACTCTCGAGCTCTACGACATCGGCGAAAAGATCATCATCGTCGGCCTGTTTGTCCAGATCTTCATGTTCGGCTTTTTTCTCGTCACCACGGTGCTTTTCCATGTCCGATTCTCGCATACCATACTCGCCTACCATACTCGGAGCGCCGCCGCACAACACACACCCATCGCCTGGAAGCGCCATTTGACCGTTCTATACGTTGTCAGTGCCATCATCATGGTTCGGAGCATCTTCCGTGTCGTCGAGTATCTTCAGGGCAACCGGGGCTATCTCATCTCGCACGAAATTTTCCTCTACATCTTCGATGCAGTTTTGATGGCCGCGGTCATGGCCATCTTCCTCGTATACTACGTCGACGATCTCGATCCAGAACGATCTAGGAAACACGACAGTGCTATCGAGATGTTATCAAGCCAAGACGTCGATGCCCCTGGCGTGATCCAGCGCACTTACAGTGCCTGAATCCAGCCTTAATCTCCATAAGGACATCTATGCTAAGCACCTTAGATGTAAGATCTAGACGATGACATGGATTTCACAGACAGTGCACACTCATATCGCAGACGGGTTGTTATCTCTTTTGTTATATACAGCATTCTAAATTCCCATTCTTCCTATTGTTACCTCGAGACACTACGTGTGCATGCTCCCGTGGTCTTACCACTGGATTATTTCATGAAGTTCCAGTGCCAAGTTTTGACCTTTCCTCTTCTGTCTTCTATGCGTTATGCTTAGTACTAGCAGGTTTTTCAATCCTTGCTAGGCTGCGATTTCTATACGTGCTGCGCTCTCTAACAAGGCGGTCGTGTGGTTACGTGTCGGCAGGATACTTTCTATAATATGTTGGAAGATGACGGGCTGCAAACCGAGCCACCAAAACATGTTTGAACACTACACTTCTCCCTTTTGTCATTGAACCCCTATCACTGGATTAAACAAAATCCAGCTATCAAGCTACAGCATACCAGCATGTCGTCCGCCAACAAGCTCACCGTCCTCATTACCGGATGCTCCCCGGGCGGAATGGGCGCAGCTTTGGCCGTCGCTTTCCACAGCGCCGGACATGACGTTTACGCCACAGCACGGAACACCTCCAAGTTGAACCCCTTGGCCAAGCAGGGCATCAAAACACTCCTCTTAGACATAACCTCCGCGTCCTCAATCGCATCCGCCGTCGCATCCATAACTACCTCCCTCCCCTCTACCAAAGGCCTCGACATCCTCATCAACAACGCCGCAGGCATCCACACCATGCCTCTCGCCGACGCCTCCATCCCAGCAGCGCGTGAGCTTTTCGACCTAAACGTCTGGGCCCAGCTCGCTGTCACTCAAGCCTTCCTCCCGCTTCTCCTACGCTCGGCTACACCAACCTCAACCTTCCACCCCCTGATCGTTAACCACACTTCGGTCGGATCCGTCGCCGCCCTTCCCTTCCAGGGCATCTACAACGTCTCCAAAGCCGCCCTCGCCATGCTTACTGCCACGCTGCGCATGGAGCTCGCGCCCTTTGACATCCGTGTCATCGACCTCAAGACAGCCGGCGTCAAGACCAATATTATTAGTAACAGCAACTTCAACGACGGCACCCGTGCCGATAGGTTGCCTGAAGACTCGATCTACGCGCCGGCCCGCGAGCTGGTGGAGCACTCTATGAGCCAGGAGGCGCTGCGCGATCGGGGCGTGACGCCGGAGCAGTGGGCGGGCGAAGTGGTGGGGTTGTTGCTGGGCCGGAACCCACCGGCGGTGATTTGGCGTGGAGAGAGTGCTTTGCTTGCGAGGGTGGCGACGGCAGTGCCATGTGGATTGATGGAGGGCGTGACAGCGAAGTTGATGGGGTTGGATAAGGTGGAGGAGGTTATTAGGGAGGCGAGAAGGTGAGGATGTTAGGTAATCCTTGGACTATTCGTTTAAAGTTGTTATGGATGATAATATCCATGGAGTCGCTACCAGTGCTATCATGTACTATACAAGCTGGAGACGGAGGGTAGGGATTTTGGAAGTTAGATGTACTATATAGATTAGAACTTCTCCAATACCATTTTATCCTCAAGGCCGCGCACAGTAGGCACAGTATTGAGGAGTCTTTGACATCAAACTCGATGGGAACCTTGATGTTCGAACAGGAGGACCTCTTGGATCATGCTGTACTAGTCTGCCGCAAAAGATGAATCTCCAGGAGTATCCCCAGAGCTAGCAGCCTTAATACATTCATGTAGCATGATCTCCAGGAAGTAGATCAGCTCGTTTGTCTAGAAACACAGATTGTCCAGACTTCGTAGCTGGTCTGACTCCCTGTTCACCCCCAAGTATTGCTTCACACCTACTGCCATAGTTCCCCGACCCCACAGGCTCCAGCGGCGTTCTCTTATATACTAGTACAGTAGCTATGATGACACATTCGCCAAAGACTGGATGTCCCAACAGTTCCACCAGCCCCCAGTATGCCGAGCTCGTAAAATAAGCGGAAGGCTATCTTGTGGTCATCACTGCTAGGCCTTGGGTCATTGTGCAATACAGTGTGCTGCTTCGATCCAAGTATCCAAGAGATTTCCCCGGCTCCGAGGACCGCCATAGCACAGTCACCTTCTCCTCCAAACCAATGGTGCCCTTTCAGGATGGAGCATCTGGAGCAAGAGCACAGGTGCCGAGTCATGCTCAATCAGGTCCAACACCCTCTTCTGCGCCTCTTCCCGGCTTTCACCGTCGTGAAGAGGCGCCGGGTCGACACGCCAGTCACGAAACAGCGCGGCCATGGTAGCCACAAACTCGACCTGGGAGAATTTCTTGCCCGGGCAGTCACGCGCCCCCTCTGACCAACCGAGAAAGGTGCCCTTTTTGAAGGTGATGAGATCCTCATCTCCCGGCTCGCCCCCTCCTTGGATCCAGCGCGACGGCCGCCACGCGAGCGCGTCCGGCCCCCAATATTTGGGATCGGTCTGCACAGCCGCGTAGCTGGGAATAAACATGGTCTTGGGCGGGAGGAGGATAGTTTTCCCGCCTACTTGGAGCGAAACAGTCTGATCTCCTACCCATTTCGACACTGGAACCACGGTGTAAAGACGGAGTGTTTCCAGCATGATGGCCAGGCAGCGCTTCAGACGGGGAAAACTGGCGGCATACCTCCAGTCTGCCGGATTGTCGCCCAGAACGGCGCGGATCTCTTCCGAAAGCCAATCTTGCACGTCGGGATACGCCGCAATGAAGTATATAGCGAAGGTAAAGGTATGCGCGGTAGTGTCGTGCCCAGCGAAGTTAAGCATAAACATGTTGCCGTATATCTCGCTTTCGCTGAGACCGGTGCTGTTGTTACCAGTGCTGGCCTCGGCTTGCGAGGCCCTGACCAAGGAGCTCATGAGCGTCTTTGGCCCGCCGGTCCTTTCCTGCGCTACCGTTGCGCGCTTCTCCTCCTCGTACTGGTCTGTCATGTAACGCTGGAAGGCAGCGCATGTGTCAGCCAGCTTTGCTAGTTTCCAAGTGTCAGGTAGCCACAGCCTCGCTTTGGCCAAAACGGAGGGACCCAACGCCATGATGAGGACAATGTTCTCGGGAATCGTCTGGAGAGAGCTCTTGTAGTTGGCTGACAGGCTGGAATCAGACCGTTCTGTATGGCCCTCGAACTTGTAGAACTTTCCAAATCCAGCCCCTGAAAGCACGTGCAAGGAGAAGGTCCGGAGGTCTTCGGCAGACGTCGTTACAGACGGCTGCCGGGACCAGTAGGCAAGCATGTCGCGGGCAAGCGACAGGCTCTCGGACCAGACAACCTCGTGGTTCTGCTCATTGAAACATGTCGCGATCATCTTGCGCTGCGTCTTCCACTGCTGCCCTTCGACCTGTAATACAAACGTTAGTTGAAAAAAAGGGGGGCGTACTAAAAGTTGGAGGGTGTGTAATCCGTACCGTACTCAGGTTCTTGCCAAAGGCATTGAGTATCTCGGTCATCTCCACGCATCTCGGAAAGTCCGTTCGGCGGCGGAAGCAATCCATCAGAGCGTCTGGGCAAGACACTATCGGCTCGTGGAGTCAGCTAGAGAGAAGGGTCCAGGAACGGTGGCAGAGAGGGCGTACATACAGTAGAACCAGATCCTGGCCGGCGTGACTATGATAAACGCGTCACCCATCTCTTGATGCGGCCGCAGCCGATCGTACATCTCCCAAGCCCGGAAGTTGTAGCGCGTAAAGCTGTTGTCGCCGAGGAAGCCCGGAAGTCTTCTCACGTAAGAGAGCACTTTCCGATCCACAGCCATCCACAGGGGATTGGCATGGTCGATGGGGATGACGCGAACGGGCAGGCCAATTTGACGTGCAATAAGGTAATTGCGCGCCAATGAGATGCCGCTGGAGACGACCAAGACCGCTGCCGCCAGCGCCGGCAAGCAAAGCACCCAGAATAACACCATCGTTTCGGAAGCGTGCAAATGTTTTGGCGGCCAAAAGCTGGGTCAGAACAGTGCCATGAGCAAATGAGCTGTAGCATTAAAAGCGTTGTACAGTACGGTATATAGGGAAACTAGAGAGTAGGGGAGGCAGACGACCAGGCTAAAATACACGCGTCAAGCAAAAGTTGAACTCCTGCAGGATCTAGCCTAGGATTTAGTGCTATAATCCTCCCCTGCTAGCCTAACTCTTGTCCGCCTCGGTCTTCGGGGATAAACCAAGAATGTCGATGAACATCATCCGCACGTTGCCCACTGAGCACCGAAACTGGATCATTATCTGGCAGTTAAGATGACCGAAAATGGCAACGCGTGATAACGGAAGTATAAATGACTTCTGTAAGAACTGCCAGTGTAGTCCCCTTGGTACAACATGACGTCCGTGTTGGAGCTGCCATCGTGGAAGACCTTTGCCCCGTCGCCTTGAGCGACGATATCCAACATGAGGACCTCGGCATATCCAAAATAGCCGGCCGTCTTTGCGCACTTGCCCGGTGACGGGTCTGATTGCGTGAGCGTGCCCGTGAAGTCGCACACTGCCTCCCACCAGCCGTCCTTGGCCATGTGGAAGCTCCTGCTGTAGCTGGCCTCACCAACGAATATTTTGTTACGGGGGACACCCGCTTTCATGACCATGGCAAGCATGTTGCGCGTCTTTGTGAGGTTGACATGGCTGCGGATGCATTTTCCAGAGTCGCACGAGTCGAACGAGGTAGGCTTGTAAGCGCTGACCGTGTATCTCAGGCAGTCGGTGCTGGATATGCCGCACCTGCTGGCGAGGGCGTCGCAGCCGTTGCCGGATTCAACCAAGATCCAACGACACGTTGCCCGTTTACTTTTCCGGAGGCGCGAGAAAACCGTGCTGTTGTTGATGGCGAGTGACGCCGTCGCGATGGTGAACCCCTTGCCTCCCTTCCATTTGAGGTGCTGCATAGAGCCGGCTCAGCCGTCGCACAGATTCCCTTGCCCCAGTCGCCCACCGTCTTTCGCACAACAGGGAGATTGCCAATCACGATGAAGACGATGCCAAATGCGGTTTCCGGATCGCGGCCGCCGCCACAGACCTTGGCGATGGTCTGGTTTCGACCCCGGCCGCCGCTGCGCAGATGCTCGGCCAGCGGCTGCAGCACTGACTCGACCGTATGCTTCCCCAATTTCTTCCCGACGAACACGCCAGCCAGAGCGAGGTTCAGCCGGGCGAACATACAGTTCTCGATGCAGTTTTCCGGTACGCCGAAGAAGGCCGTGATACCCTGGAGGAGAACGCTGGCTTCCTGGTCCGGAACCTGGCCGTCACCGCCTCCAGTGCTGCTGCCTTTGGTGAAGACTTGGACGCTGGGGTCGGTGGGGCTACCAGCGCTCTTGCACGCGTGAGCCATCATGTCAAGCGGGCTTGTGTGCAGCTGCGGGCTTCTCTTGCGGTCCTGTGATGCGGGCTTGGGAGTCGACGGGGCCACTCCGCCGTCTCGGTTCCTGGTGCAAGTATGGATGGCAGCGTCGTAGACTGGGTCATCCAGCGGATGGTTCGCGGCAAACTGCATGAGCATAGGCTCCCCGCAGCGCTCCGGTCTCTGCCACGGAATGATGGCGGATCCAAGTATTCATGCCGGTGAGCTCCCCGTCCCGCACGGAAATGGACAGTCATCGCGCTCGGGGACGTATTCGTTGGTGTCTCCAAGGGGTGACGGGCCGCCCAACCCGGTTGGTGCCACGGCTGGGGAGCCATCGAGGCTGATGGCCGCTCGCGCAAGGCCCACCGAGAGGAGGATGACGACGTTGGCGCGCATCATGATCTCGAGCTTAGTAGGGCGAGAATCCAAGTGCCGTCACGGTTCGCGGCGTGTCCGTTGTGGATTCTACGGCCCGGGTGGACCTGATCATGATACTCATTTTGTATGTACTCCCGATGTACGGCCCCCAAGCCCCAGATGCGCGATGCGTGCCAGCCTCGAAAGGCCGCACAGTGCGGAGGAGGAGCTTCGGCGATCAAGCCCATGATCCATCATGCCGTGATGGTGGCAACGAACCGCGGGCAGATTTCGTCCCCCGGGGCAGCGCAGCAATGAGTGCCATGGCTTGGCGAACGACAGACTCCGCGACACAAGTTCCTTCCTACTCCTTCCCGGGGCCGCATCTCACAACCACATTTGAAGAAATCAGCCTAAAAACCTAACTTGTTGGTGATGCATGTGCATATCATGGCCGAGAAAAGAGAGACCGATCACAAAATTGTTCCACCGAACTAAAAACATCCCCTCCCACAGCGCCGCAGATATCACGATAGCCAGCAGCTGCTTCAACCCACGAGTCAGTTAGAACAGCAAGGATGGATTACTCGCGCGAGGAAACTGTGGCAGCAGTGCAGGACTTTATCGCTTTCGCTACCAAAATGTACCTCGATGAAACAGCCTACGAATCACCCCCAAGCACCGGCTGGCCCAGCATAACCCCCGACTCAATGCGACCCTTTGGCAAGACAGACGAAGTCGTTGACCTCCTGCGCCATCTCCCCTACCCGTCTGACGAGGACCCAGACAAAAGACCCCAGGTCATGCCGGCGCTCTCCTTTGCCGCTTTCCAGTTGGACGACTTTGGGCTGTCCGAGTCGGCCGACGGAGCACGCACCTTGCGCATCGCGACCGAGGGTTATATGATCTTCCAGCATGTGCCGGCCCATGTCGTTGGCCTCGCGATGCGTCAGCGCAACGACCACGGCGTGCTCCTCGATGCCAAACTGGGAGTCGTGTTTTGGCACGAGGCCGCGACGGAGTTCAAGTGGCTTAGCCCGTTCCCCGTCGTCATGGGCCTCGTGGAGGGGGAAGGAAAGGGGGGAAACGCCATGGCCCCGGGCGAGCGGGCATGGCGTGAGTGCGAAACTGTCTGGTCCATACCAGATTTCTTTGCCACGCTCAAGCACAACCTCAAAGAACTACACTTCGTCCCCATGAGCAGGCGGCGAGTCGTGGATGGGTGGTATGGACCACACGAACACGGCCAGGAGGCAGTGGAAATGGTCAAGGGCATCTATCGCGTACACGGGTGGCCCGATCTCGAGCGCTATCGCAAGGAAGACTGCATGAAGGCCATCTACACAGCGCTGAGCGAGAACTTCCCAGGCGAAGAAGACGAGCAGGACGGCGAGCTACTTGATGCCTAGAAGACGACGAGACAATGCAGTTGCTTGTAGGCTGTAGGGGCCTTTCCACCTAGTGTTCGGACAACGGGGTTTGGCCCTGTCTGCTGAATCTGTTTCTAAGACAAGATGTCGCCGCCCAATGCCATCTCATCGCGGCCCGGATATGCATTTTGCCTGTAGTGAGATTTGGCCCAGTATAACCCAGGCAGACCCAACACCCCCGAGTTGATTTATCCGGACCTGCACTCAGGGGACGAAATCACCAACGACCCGCGGCGCAGTTGCAGGACATCTTTATCTCGGAGGGCGCCTATGCCGTCTGGCCCGATGGTCCCCTAAACCCTACGCAGATCTTTCTAGCGACACTTCCGTGTTTTCCTTTTCACAGGTATCCCAATCAGCACCGCATCTCCATACCTACATTACCACCAACCGACCAGGAGTTGCCTAAAGTACTTTTGGGCCGACTGTCTAACCAGCCCCCATCAAAGCAAACCTCCAACTTTGGTCCTTAACTATACCAGTCATCGCGCCACTCAAAATTTGTGCGATGAAAGGCGCGCACCGTCTTAAGATGAAGCGCACCACCAACACCCTCGGCCTCCTAGCCCTCGTGTCCACCGCCTTAGCAGCCGAAACCCACATCACGGCTGCAGAATGGGCAGTTCCTACCCAGACCAACGACCCCTACCAATGCGCCACGCGCGACATCCCCCACTACCTAACCGCCGGCCCCTCTCCCTCGGGCGCTCTCTCCTCGGCGCTCCTCTCCTACGAAGAAAACCTGTACGAAACATGTACACGCGCCACATCCGGGCCCTTCCAGCCCTGCCCGGTCCCGCCTCGAAGCCAGCTCTGCGCCTTTTCCACCGCTGTCCCGACGTCGCTGCTACCAGCGTACTCGTCGTATGCCAGTTCGGCTGCGTCGTGGTGGAGTGCGGGGAATGGGGATGTGGTGGTCAGTTTGGTGCAGGAGTGTCCGTATCTGTGGTATGACAGCCTGTTGATGAATCCCGCGAGCGGGAGTAATCTGAATCGGACGGTTGCGCATGCGCAGTGTTGGGCTGAGGCGCACCCGACGGGTTCCGAGTCCGGAGGGTTGACAACGTTGTCGGCTACCGGCACAAGCACAGCCTCGCAGGCGGGTGTAGCGGGCTCGACGGCTACGCCGACGGGGAATGGTGGGGTTAGGGGTAGGACGGGCGTAGGGGATGGTTCAAGTTGGATGATGGCTGGGTCAGGTATGGGGATGGCTGCTGCTATGAATGTCGGTTTGTTGTAACTTGTAATCAGGCCGGTAAGAAAGTGTCGGGGGCGGGTCTGGACTATCCTCGCGGTGTCTTCTACTACTCGCTTAATAGCTACGAGGGTGGTCTTACGTGGCTATTTCCAGCGAGCTACTGGCTTTGGGATCGTTTGTCCCTAGTGCGACATTGGATATATAATAATCACGAGATCTCCAGCCTATGTTGCGTTGTCTCGTGAACCTATTTTCCCGGGTATTGTATCTTGCTGTGAGGCCGAGGGTAGGACGGCTCAATGTACCACTTCTTTCAGAGTTCGGATCATCTCATATCTCCGCTACCAACGTGTCATTCCCCTGGCTCTCTCTCAGCTTATTTGCAGCCTCGTAATTGCCTCGTAACCCCTCAAAAAGATATCTATGAGGGATGCGTACAGAAAAGGTCCTCCAGGAGAGGCGGGAGGTATTGTTCCAGCCCCGTCCATGGCTTCTGTGGACGCCATGTCGTTCCGGATGAACACTTGCGATGGACTAGACAGTGTAAAGCAACGGCAAGCCCACCATAAGCCATTCCTAGAGACCACCGAGCTAGTTGTTGTTACATGAAGAGCACCAGCATTAATCGCATCCTGTATGGTCTTTTGTAGCCGGCGTTCCGTTTCAAAGATCGAGGGAAAGTTGAAGATATGTCCAACAGACTCGTTACCATCCTCGTTCCAAAGCCGAAAAGGATAGAACGTGCGATAGAATAGATCTCCAGGCACCGGCTGTGGCTTCAAGCAAGCCAAGAGCTGAAGGAGGTGTCTGCAATCTTCGGATGAGGCTGCGGGACAGTTCCTGGAACGCCGTTGGAGAGAGGCCAAGGCCTGATACACTTTACCGTAGTAGCAACGATGCTCATGGGCAGGGGACTGCATTGTGGCGGCGGTGGCCTAGGTCTGTATTCCACGGACTCCTTCCGTAATGTAAGCGGGCAACAACCGTAAATAACAGGCAGACTGTAATGCATGTATATATAGTACCCGCACTCGCCCCAATACTATACATTGCAGCCACAATTAGGCTTTGGTTGCCAAGAAAGACCACATCGCTTCAGGTACTTGTACTTGGTTGACCGCCTGCGGCCCGAGGCCGAGGGAGTATACAGTACCTACTGTACATACCTACACGTTACGTACTCGGACAACTGTCCGTAATGTCATGCACTCATGACAACTTGGAGAACCGCACAACAAACCCCTCACTACTTGGTGTTTATACAAGTAGCTTACACAGTACGTTACCTGGACTATTAGACATTGGAGCTGCACAAATCCCATAGCACTTGCACGGACAAGTCGAACGTTATCTATCAAAGTGACTGCCCCGATGTTACGATGCATAGGACTGGATCGTATTCCGCCTCTTAGTCCGTTGAGTCCACTAGGTGGCTCAACAAGGATCATTCAGGCAAAGCCTGGCCACCTCTGGATGATTGACCAGGTAGCTACTTCCCGTCTGGGTGAGCTCGTAGCAAGTCAATATTCCAAGCCAGCCAACTTACCGGCAGAGAAAGACACCGAAAACAGTAGAATATAGTAGAATAAAAGGATAACTATATAGTAACTCGCCCTCCCAGACCCTTCCTGTGGCACGCTATGAGAAGAAAATATAAGAAAATAAGAAAGAGTGAGTAAAGCAACAAACAAATGTGCCCTGCTCTCAAACACACCCACGGATTTCTTACTCAAGTATACCAGGACGCACCTTGCCCAAGACGTTTTCACTCAACCCTAATTCCTGCCGGTGTATCCGCTCGGCCTCCTCGTACTTCCCCTGCTTCTTGAGCACACTCGCGAGGTTGTTCATGCTGGT